CTTAACAAATGTTTAAAATTTTTTTGCTTGTAAAATTACTGACAACAACAAAAAAAAACAGGGCAACCACACTAAACCTTTAATAAAAAAAAATAAAAATAAATAATTTATATGCAACGAATATTTAAAAACATTCAAGTTTCATGTAAAAGTATACCAAAAACCTTCCTCAAACTTTTCAAATATTTTAAATTAAAGTAAATTTATTAAAAACCAAAGTAAAAAATATTTTTTAAATATTTTTTACTTTGGTTTTTAATAAATTTAGTGAGTTTTTTTTTTTCTTTTATGTTTTTTTGTTGTAGTTTTTTTAATTATATTTTGCCGTTTAAATAATTCTACAATACCAAAATGTCCGGGGCAGAAAGAAGATAACAGTAGTCTTATTACTAAGCCCCGAAGTTTAACATTAAAAAATAAATATACAGTTTATTTTTACAAAATATCTCGAGCCTATGAAAATATCAAACAAAAAATTACACTTTAATTTTTGTACAATTGCACTAAAGATTTTAAATTATTCAAATATTTTAACCTTTTTATTTATTTACAACTATTTATTTCAAAATTTATGATCTAAATTTGTTACGCTGTTTGTTTACATAAAATATTATATTCAAATTTTTTATGATTTGGTTCAATGATAAGGTTAGTATTTAAAAGATAAGGTTAGTATTTTGCTGTCCATGCCTTCTGTAAAGCCATATCTTTTTATTATTTATATATTTGCAATTAATTTTTATTTTCTTTCAAATTTAATAGGAATTTATCCTAGTTATGAACAACAAAATAAATAATAAAAAAATACTAAGAATAGTTCTGTGGTTGCTGATGATGACGCTCAATTTGGAATTGAATTGGGATTGCTATGTAGTCTTTATATGACAGCAAGCTGGAGGAGAATAAACCATTACACCGCGATATAAAACAAATTTAATTAGTTCTCGCTGTATTCCAAATCTTTAACTCTCTGTAAATATTTTTTCCAAAAAATTTTCCTTTAAATAAGTGAAAAAATCTTTTTTATTCATATTCCGACGCAACGCCGAAATACTATTAAATCTACTGCTTTGTTGGCCCTACACCAACAAAAGGAGGCGTGAACTTCCTATTAAATGCTCATTCGCGGTGCTCTGTGATAAGATTTTGACGACTTCTTAGGGGACCTAAAATAAAATAAAAAAAACTTGAAAAGCGCTGGGCCTGCCAAACTTTGGTGCTTTAAAAAAAATCTCAAAAAATAACTAAGATTAAATTTCAAATATGCTTTTCAAATTCTAAACATGATAAGTGGCGCTTCAAATAGAGTTTAAAAAAGTTTTTTCTTTAATTTACAAAAAAATTAAAAAATATCTCATGTTATGGCAACAGATCCTTTTATTAAACAAACACTTGAATCATGACCGAAATATAGTCTAATTTTACCCTTAAATACCCCTTAACTACAATCCTAAAACCTAAATCATATTTATTTAAAAACAACGTATCTTTAGACAACGAATTTGATGGAAAATCAAAGTCAGAAGAAACTCGAACAAGAAAACCTCGCCGACATACTACGGGTAGTGGTAAACAAACTATAGAAGATATAAAGAAAGCAAAAGAATTAGCTGGAATGAGTACTCCAAATTATGAAGAGGTTACTGATTATTCCTCAGAAAGAACAAACACATTAGGCAGAAAACAACTTATTTCAATGTTAAAGCAGAGATATGGTCCTGAAATTGAATGTTATCGTAATGCAAACGAACAAGCCGAGCAGGTAGTTTTTATTGTATAAAAACTTAAAGTACTTAAAATCACGCAATTTTTAAATATTAAAATTTCTTGCTTTATTAAATCAGGTCCGGTTTTTTTAATGCGTCTTTATAAGTTTTGTTGGATGCTTGCACTAGGTTGAAACTCCCTTATTATAGAGGTTTTTAGAGCTTGATGAAAATTTTAGATAGAGATTCGGGTTTTAAATTAAAAAGAAAATCAAGGTTTTAAAGCCAATATTTTATTACATTTATTTTTATGATTTAGATGCTCTGCCAATTGGTTCGGCATAAGTTATTTAGCATTGCCTGCTCGTGTGAGAGATAATCCAAATAATTTACGCTGAAAATTATGAATCGTGTAGAACTAGAATATATCCTATCAAATAAAATAAATAAATAAAACTTTATTTTAAACATTTATTATAAGTTAACGTAATTAATCATTGTGTAATAAAAGCGGAACTGTTTTTTTGATAACATTATTCTTTTAAACTAGGAACAAGATATTGAAAAAAAACTTCTTGAGCGTAGTTGGGATCAACGAAATCCAAAAAGTAAAACATTCCAATTCAGTAAAAGTCCAAATAACAACTCCTCCTCTATGGTGCGATCAAACAACTCGAGTTTTCGAAGATCGACAAGAAGAACCAACTCAAATGATGGCTCTGGTGGAGAAACATCAAACTCTGTGAGTGGAAATAGCGATAACGATTCAGGTTGGAGTTCACATGGTAAATTTTATTTAATAAATTCTTTTTTTTCAAACAGAATTTTTTTTTTTTGTACTCCGTTGTTAAAATCCTCCTGCTTGTGTTTGCAATAGTTTTGTTAGTTTATTTTGAAAGTTTAACGCATTTTATTTTTAGCAATTGCGTTCCTACAATATCGCGATGAAGTAAAACGTGTAAACTTACCATCTCTTATGCGCTCAATAGACACCGTAAAAAGTCTCTTTGTTGAAGCGTTCCCTAATAAAGTCACTTTACAGCATTTTCAGACTGGAAAAATAACTATATATATAAAAGACATCGAGAATGGCGTTTATTATCAACTTGAAAACATTGGGTAACTTTTTTCAATTTTTTTATTTTTCGTCTAAATGTAATCGGTTTTTTTTTTATTATTTACAATAAATTTTACAAAACAATATATACAAAATACTTTTTTTTTAAATCTAAAATTATAATATGATTTAAACTTTAAAAATTTGTCCTCATTAGAAGTATAAGCAAATATTAAAAAAATTAGCAAAAACAAAGACTCTAATATTTATACAAAGTTTTACAGTTTTTATTAAAAGTATTCTGTGGAAACGAAAGACATAGCATCAGTAAATTGTAATTATTAAGTCTTTTTAATACGATTGGGTTTTCTTTTATAAATTGGTTAATAAAGTTTATTATATACTTCCTTTTGAATGTCTCTAACGGTTGACTTTTTGTCAAACCCTATTCCGACGTTTACCGTCCTTCGCGACCGCTAACTCAAACTTGTAGGGGTTAGATATATAGGAATAGAGCGTACATCGGCTGACCTAAATAGGAATAAGTGCAGTGACTCTACATATACTGACAGTGGGTTAGGCAAATAGTCTTACAAATGAAAGGATAATTTTCATGTTTTCGGACATAAAGGACAGCGTCGGTATATGAATTTGATAAAAGAGCCTATCCTTTCTAACACTCAATAGATATAAAAAAATAAGCAGTTTTTAGGCATTTAAGACACTTCTTTCAATGAGAATTATATAAAAATAGTAAGCTCCATTATAAAAGAGTTATTTTATAAAAAAAAAGGTATCGGAATAACTTGATATACTATTTGGTATACCAGCATTGGGCTATAAGTACAGCTATGTTCCATAAGTACAGCTATGAATGCTCTGCTGGGTATATGGATATTTAATGGATATTTAAATAGATATATTTTATTATTGTGCATAAATAAAAATCTAATGCTGTCCGAAATGTCAGCAGAAAGTTCTTGAGATTTCTGACAGCAGGAAGTTCTTAAAGTGTATAATGGACGTCATAAAATTTAAAACACGACATTAATTAAGAATAATGGATGCCATGAATGTTAAAATAAAACAACAATTAAAGTATAACGGACGTTATACTTTATTAGTTGTATTAGTAAAATAAACAACTACTATAATATAGTAAATTAACCAACTATTAAGACTTCTAATCAAAATCAAAATAATAAAAAGTACCAAAGATATTTTTTGAAGGAGGTTTTCTCTTGGGGAGAGTTTTTGAATTTAATTGAGTTATTGAGCTGACGTTATGCATTGTTTCTTCATTAATAAAATGCACTTGTTTTTAAAAAGTATGCTATATTTGTATATGTAAGCATCTTATGCATTAAAAGTTAAAACAAGGAACTTGGTGATAAGATGATTCTACCTTCTTCCTGCCATACTTTGACATACAAAACTAGTAAACATAACGTAATATAAATGTAGCATGTATATATCTAAAGATACATATATAAATGTAGCATATTTATTTAAAAAAAGTGCATTCTATTATTGAAGAATCAATGTATAACGTTGTCTCAGAAATTCAAATAAGTACAAAAACTTTCCCCTTCGGCAAAGTGTAACCATCGGCAAAGTGTAACCTTCGGCAAAGTGTAACCTTCGGCAAAGTGAGACTTAGGAGAATGTTACCAAATTGAAAAGAATCACTTTTTACAAAAAAAAAGGGGAATTCTTATCAGAATGATTATAACTACCCAGTCTCACTTTCCCCGATATCTGGGTAAAATGAGACAGAATTCATTTAAAGAAAAAAAATTTATATAAAAAAAAAAATTCAGAATTTTGATAAACTAGATCTTAGTAAATATGAAAAAATCAAATCAAAAACACAAAGTTAATATTTTATTATGTTAAACTCTAATATGGCATTATAAAACTCAAAGAGTTTCAATAAAATATCCATATCTTTAATATTCTTTTTTAGACTTTGTTCTTGTCTTCCAGAAAGCACTTTTCTAAGTCTTCCAAGTAAATTAATATATAAACTAATTTTATCATTTTAAAAAATTTTGTGGTACATAAAAATTCTTAAAAGCTTTTCTTAAAAACTTCTACTTTGACGCTACTGATGTTAGAGCATTTCTCATGTCGGCTTTTAATTTCTCTTTAGAAACTTAAGATTTTTACGTTTTATAAACTTTTTATTTTAATGAATTATTCAAATCTATTTTATTTTTATTGCTTTTTGTTGTTGCTTTTTAAATATATATACCTCATAAATATATATCGTTATTATTGGTATTGTTATCATTTTTATTTCTTTTGTTTGTTTGTTCTTTTTTACTATAACAATAAGGTTTTTACTATTCTTTTTAAAGAGATGTTTCAAATCGATCATTTCTTAAAATTCACGAGTTAGATACACAACAAAGTAATAGTCAACCAACTTGGGATAGTTTATCTGCTAAAAAACAAACAGAAGTCACTCAAGAAATATCCATTCCAAAATTTCAAAGAGAAAGCTCAAGTTCTTCATTGCGCTCAGATGGCGTGCTAAACCGAACAAATTATGGTACGCAAAACAATTTTGAATTTAAGGGAGATGCGGAAAAGCAGATATCTTCGCCAAAAACCTTTAGATCGTCAAGTTTCAACAACCCATATGAACAATATGGTAGAGGGGCAACATTTAGCCCTGCTGTAACACGAAAAACTCAAGCACAAATGACGCCAGTCAGGTATTTATTTGTATTATAGAAAATTTTTGGTATAATTAAACATTTTTTGAATAAAATTAAAATTTATGGAATCGTTCAGCGTGAGTAGCAAATTAAAAAAATTAAACATAGAAATTTAGCAACCAGACCTCTAAATTTCAATTCAAACTTTTTTACTTCCTACAACATCTAAGTCAGCACATTAAGCATCAATTTCGTATTTTTCTTTTAATCAAGCATCATTACTTTTTAATGAATATCCCACTTAAATTGATAATTACTAATTGTAACTGTAATAATTGCGCATGGCACCTGCCTAGGCGCAGTAATTCGAGTGCAGACTCTTAAACTGAAAAGTTCTAGAAATGATCCCCACTTTGGCGATAAAAATGACATTGGTGAAGGAGGTGGTACGTAACTTTCTCATTAAATGCTACATTATGGTGCTCTGTGGCAAGATCATTGGATACTTCTTGAAAAAAGATAAATTTAAAACATGCTTACTAGTAAGTAAGCATTAATTTAAAACATGTTTACTAGTAAGCAAGCATCAATTTAAAACATGCTTACTAGTGATTTTCAAATTAAAAACTAAAGTAGTTATTCAATTTACTTAGTTTAAATGTAATTATTATTTCTGCTTCTATTATGTTTTATTCTTTTTTCAATTTTATAATTAGCACTCAATATTTAATTTGCCACTCAAAAAAAAAGCATTAAGATCAAAATTAAAAAAAAATTATAAGAAAAGAAACAAACAAAAAAAATTTGCTAAACCAAGATTATTATGTACCAACTACCCAGTAAACACAAAACGCATTCTAGATGTCTATAAATCTAAATAAAGGCACATTGTTAAAGATGTTTATTAAACCTCTTTTATGCAAGAACTTTTATACATCCTAAACGAACGCATCTTTTATATATCTATTAAAATATACATCCTTAAAAGAGTTCTATTATGCGTCTTGAAAAATGCCTGATATAAGCTTTAAGAAGCCTTTAGACGTCCTTAATATGTTAAGTATATTTAATTCAATATATATATATATATATATATATATATATATATATATATATATATATATATATATATATATAATTATAGTAATAATAATAATAATAATAATAATAATAAATAAGTTTAGGAAAGGGTGAAATTTTAAACAATTATCCTAATATGTTTACAGGGATCTGATTTTTTTATAGAAATAATCAGGTTATATATTTAGGTCTATACCGTATATGTATACCATACTTAACTTTAACTAATGTTAATAAAGCTAAAGGGATTTCGGTTTTTTAAAATATAATAACTATTAAATATCTTTAAAAATGAATTAGTCTTTATAATCATGCATTAAAAAATATACGTTTTTGTTTTTTAGTTCTTTTAAGCCACGCAGAAGACTTAATAGATGTTAATGAATTTTTAATTTTAAATGAGTTAGGCGATTCCCGTGAATCATATCCATTTAAAAAAATATGGTAGGTTTGATATAAATACTTGGGATGGTGTACAATGTAAAATTGATTTTTTTTTCCAAGAAAAACGACCTCGTCACCCTTGATGTTACTGGCATACCAGAAAAATTGTCAACGCATAGAGAACTTAATGCAATGGTTTAGAAAGACTTTGCATTTTGCTAAAACAACTTGCTTTTTCATATAGATACACGAACATGGTATCTTTATTTGAAAAAAAGTCTTCAGAGAGCTTCATTTTTACTTCACTTTCTTCTTCCTTTATGTTTTCTATCTTCAAAAAACTTTCTTCTTCCTTTATGTTTTCTACCTTCAAAAAACTTTCTCTTCCTTTATGTTTTCTACCTTCAAAAAACTTTCTCTTCCTTTATGTTTTCTACCTTCAAAAAACTTTCTCTTCCTTTATGTTTTCTACCTTCAAAAAACTTTCTTCTTCCTTTATGTTTTCTACCTTCAAAAAACTAAAAGACTACTGTAATGTTATTCATCGAGAATGATCCCATTAGATAATTCTTTTGGATTTTTCAATGGTACGGTTTGGGGTAATGTTAGACTTCAAACTGATCAGAAAGTTGTTTATAATGGTCATAAGAAAAAACATGCCCTAAAAAATCAAAGTTTAGTATTGCCTAATGACCTGATAGAATATTTTGCATGGCCATTTGAAGATAGAAAATATGATGCTACTATGCTGCGTGAGTCAGAGTTGTCAAGCCAGTTACAAAACAATGCTTGGTTCAATAGACAAACTTTGAGTATATATGGTGCTCCAGCCTATCCATTATATGCATATTTGCAAGCACCACTTTAGAATCCAAACTTAACATTATCCCAGCATACTTATAACAAGACAATTAGTGAAGTTCATGTTTCAGTTGAGAAACTTATTTTTATCGCTAACTACTTTAGGTTTGCTGGTTTCAAAAAATGCAGAAAGTTGGCTCAAATGCAGTTAGGAAAGTATGCGTAGCATGTGCATTGTTGCAGAATGCCCATTCTTGTCTGTATGGAAACTTAGTATCTGAATATTTTGGATGTCAACCTTGATCATTACACCAATACTTTACATCTTAAAAAAAAGCTAAATAAGTTCAATGAAGTAAGTTCAATTTAATTTATTATCATACATACTAACAAAAAAAGTATAATATAATAATGTAGTAACAAAAAGAAATGAAAATCTTAAAACATTATAAACAGTGTCATTTTTCAAAAAGCAAACTTATCATTTTATTAAAAAGGGAAAGTATCTGTTGCAATATTACTTTGTGCTGCTGTTCTTGCATCTTAAATTATTGTCGTTGCAGGCGTCTTGTTCTTGTGCAATTTGCTCTCTATCAAGTCTTTTATTTTCTCTATCATATTTTAACTTTTCAGAAATATGAACGTGTCTGAATTTCTTCTTCAATTTATAGGAATTTTTTCTTTGCAATTACATTGCTCTTATCGTTTCGTTTTGGAGTGCCATTAAACATTTCGTTTTCGAGTGTCATCAAACGTTTCATTTTCGAGTCTAACTAAACTATGCCTTTTCTCAATTTTATGTTTTTATTTATTTTCAATTACATTTCATTATTTTTTTCAAATTCATTTCTCGAATAATATTTGTTATTACACTTCTTTTCTCGAATAATATTTGTTATTACTTTGTAAATATGAACCTATATAAAAATAATGTTTATTTACAACCTGCTAAAATAATTCTTTAGCAAAACAACAATTCGAAAAAAGGCATACTATTAAAATGTAAAATGTGTAAATTATTAAAATAAATGATCAACTTTAATTTTAGTATTATTAAGAATCACCAAATTAATTATATTTACAAAAAAAAAAATTAATAACTTTTGAATATTAACTAATTTGTTTTTGAAAATTAGTGAAATTTTGAAATACCCTTACTTTCATGGAATAAACAATGAAGGAGACAATTAGCAGGAATGTTGTGAAATATTGATAAGTGAAAAATGTGACTTTGTAAATATAAACTTGTGTTGCTAATATGAAATTTACCGGTAACTTTACCTGTAAATTTACCAGTAAATTTTGATATTGATTGCTCACTATGGTATTTTATTTGAATAAAGACTTAGTTTATAATTTTAAAATTGACTTGTATTAAAATAAAACTTACCGGTAGATTTTCAGGTAAATTTTTGGTTTCAAAAGTTCTGGTAAATTTACATCACTGATATTAACTAATAAAAAAAATAAATAATATCTATTTCCTCTATGAATTTACGTGAGAAAGCACTGATGGCCTGTGGTTTGAAGTCTGTGGATAAAGGTATGAGTAACAGGAAAGCAGCTATAACACTTGGCTTTAAAAAGATCAACTTTCATCAACAGAAGTTGGCAAGCATACTAAAAAAATGGCAAACAAACCAAGTTGAGCAACAACATCGTGGACATTTTAGTAAAAATTTTAATATTTATGAGTGATATTGGTTTTAATTTGACTAGACTTAAAATACTGTGTATTGTTAATAACAAATGAAATGTGTGTTGATGGCGGTGAAGTTACACCTGCCTGGTATTAATCATTTATTAGGCGTTATTATGATAAGCTATCGCTCAGAACTTCAAATAATATACCGTTAGACCGTGCAATGTTGATTCAGCCAGGCACTACTGATCAATCATATTTATTAAAAGTATATATTTATATATAAATATATTTTATAATAAATTGTTTTTTAATTGAAAAAAGGCGCAACTTTTAAAAGGTAAAATTCAATTTGTTTGCAATATTTACAAATTATCCTTTTTTTATAAACTGCTTACCTTATAGTATTTTAATGGCCGATTTTATAATTTTTTGAAACTATTTTGTTAAGGTTTGGAAATATTGCTGATATGTACAATATACATGGATTCGAAACTAAGCCATCCCACATTTTTAATTGCGATGAATCTGGCCTTCAATGCCAATTTAAGGTAGTGTATTAAAAAGGGTCAAAAGGGCCTAAAAAACTTAGGTCCTTTTGAAGTTTTGTTGCAGTAGCAACAAAAAGGCTTCAGTAACAATACTCGTTTGCTGTGATGCTTTTGGAACACTCTTGCCTGTTTATGTTTTATTCAAAGGCCAAAGGTATTTATTTATAGATATATTTATTTATAGATATATTTATTTATAGATATATTTATTTATAGATATATTTATTTATAGATATATTTATTTATAGATATATTTATTTATAGATATATTTATGATGTGTTTGAGTATTTAAATTAAGAAGCATTTAAATCAGATGTGCAAAGTATCCGGAAAACTAAAGTATCCGGTAAACTAAAGTATCCGGAAAACTAAAATATGCGGAAAACTCTGCATTTTAAAAACTATTTGAATTTTTAGATTGATGTCTGAAAGGCTTCTAACTCAGAAGGGGCAAAACGGTGCTATGATGTCATGCAATTTGGCTGGATAGAACGATTTGCTTCAGCTGGATGGTTTGAAAAGACTTTTGTTCCACATTGTCGCAAGCTTAAAGATTCCCAAGTCCTTTTTTTTAAACGGAATTTCCTCACATGTAATGCTGGAACTAATTCAATTAGAAAAAGATGAGATTGATATCATTTTTAAGCTACCAGCTTATACATCTTACGTGCTACAGCCACTTAATACAGGCGTATTCAAAACAGTGAAAAGTAAATGGCGCGTAATCCTTAACAAACATTTTATTTAAAATGCTTTCAAAGGTCTCACAAAACAAAGCTACCCTGGGTTGCTAAACAGTTTTTTGACCAAAGCGACAATGTGCGTTCCGGCTTCAAATCAATAGGTATTTTTCCGTTGTGTCGGAAAAAAATAACTAATGAAAAACTAGCCGTTTGATAAACTTTTGTGCAAAGTACTCAAGCCTTACCAACACTGCCTATACCAGTCACCACAATTCCAGAAATTCCTTCATGTATACAAAATTATATAACTTCAAGTACACAAATTTCTTTGAACTCATTAAAACAAAAAACCTTCTTTAAAATCACAATACAAAATAAAATAAAAAAAAAAACTTTCTTCAACTCGCTGCACGACTGCTTGTGAGCATTTAAAATCTTAAATGATTAACATGCTTGCATGCGTACATGTGCGTATGCCCATGCCCAGAGTTTCCGTATCAGAGTTAAAGCTAAATGTTCCTAATAATAACATGCGTCTCATAAAAAGTTACATTATGACTTCTGAAAAATCGATAGTACTTAAAAACAAGCAAATAATGGCACAAAAAATGAAAACAAAATACAAGCTAGAAAAGTTTGCGTGAAAAAACAAAACAGAACGCTAATTTAATTAGGACTCAAAAACACGCAAAAGAAGCATTTAGGTAAAAGAAAAATTTGGATAAAAAAACCTTCTATTACACAAGGAAAATAACAACTAGTGGAGGTAATCAAAATTCCGACTGTATCAGAATCCAAAGTGAGTTTGATACGTCAGGACTGTCAATCTGATGGTTCTTCTATTTCAAAAAAATGTCAAGCTTGTGACATTTTATTTGCAGAAAAAACTACAGCTCAATAAAAATTATTGAAGCGTTGTAAATCCTGTGAAGATTGGTCCGGATTTTGCTGTTCTTCTTTAGTTGACGTAATGCGCAATAATTGCCAATAAACAAACAAAGCTAATCATAACTGAAAAAATCTTTTTAACTTTTTCGAAAAATATATATTTAACTTTATTAACGAATGGCGTAGCGAAAGTGATCAAAAAACTAAGTAATAAGATAATTGAGTATTTATAATAGAAATAGAAAATAATATATATACTATGTATACTTAAAAAGGCCTTTTCTTATGTGCTCGACGTTGTTTTCTCTAGCCACCCCCTCCCCCCACCCCCCACCCCCCCAAAAAAAAAAAAATTATGAGCCCGAGACAATACTTTTCTTGGTTACTGGTATTACCTACTAATATATCATCATTTTACAATAAAATAACATTAAAAAACTTAGTTTTCATTATTTTTGACGTTAAGTTAGTGATGCGTTATTAGGATTTATATAGCGACCGAACTTATGAAATGATATTAAAAGTTCCACCAAAGTAGATGTTCTCATTTGAAATAAAATATTGAGTAATAATTTTTATTATTATTATTATTATTATTTTTTTTTTTACAATATCAATTATCAATATAATTGTCTGTATGTTTCGGGAAAAAAAATTGATAACTAATTCACGCGTGAGAATTGAATGTTCAAAGCTTAAGTGACCAAACTTAGGCGATTTTACGGTACAAATAATATTCTTGAAAAATAAATATTATAAAAGATGCTTGTGGTGTTTGTTTTTTAATATACAACCTACTTTTTTCCACAAAAAACTTCACCATCTCATACGTTCTATAAACAACGTAAAAACGAATATTTTGAGGTTGAGCACGGAACGTAGATAATTAAAACGCATTAAAATACCTGTCAGCAGGCTACTTATAGGGTACATAACGAAAATAGACGTGCGCGTCACATTTTCTACATCTCCTTATTATAAGAAATACCACGCTTATCCACAAATGTTACGTCTCGTGCTAAGAAACATCTAAACATCATTTACTAAGACATCTAAAATACTATCATGTATCATATAGTATCATGAATTTATTATAATTATTATGTTATTGGATGATGTCTTTTAGCCGTCTTCTACAAAAATGTCTTTTTTTAGCCTAGACCTCTACGAATGCGTCTTTTAAAAGATGCTTTTATTGAGGCTTCTTAAAAGACCTCTTAATGTTTACTGGGTACATAGAAATAGTAAACCTAAAAACTGCTAAATAAAAAATTGATTTGACTTTATCCGCTGATAATGGTATATTTATAAAAACCAGACAATATTTTAAATTAGAAAATTAGAAATGAAAAAGTGAAGCTTGAAAAATATAATTTGGGTCAAAGGCATAATAATATTAAAATACACAAAATTTTTCAAAAGCGAAAACTGCGGTTTTATTAGGAAAAGACATTCACGGTTTTATTAAAATACACTTTGATGAAAAGTTAACAATAAATTGTTTAATAACGTGGTTTCAAATTCTTGAAAAAGAAATCCAGCAACCCGTTCTAGGAAAAGCGCCACGACTAACATCATATTAAGATTGTTAACGACTTCTAAAACAATTTCGAGTTAATTCAATGATAACGGAGTTATCAAACTGATGACGGAGTTATGTGATAACGGAGTTGTACGTAAATATAAAATTTAAATAATAACCAATTTTTGATCGATAGTCGCAAAATATGTACTTGAAATTAAGAGGGTTTATAACTAAATTTGATCTTTAGCAAAGTTTCCGTTGGAGAGTCTTCTTTGTCTAACGAAGAATGTAGAAATGTTGAAAATGAAGATTGCGTTAACATAAAAAGTCCTGGCAAACTGAACCAAAAAATCATCAACAACCTTCAAAACCAAGCCGATCAGTTTAATTCACGAAAGGTACAAACTTAATTTTTTATTTCTTTAAATAACTTTTTAATTAGTTTGAATACAATAACCAAAGGATTTCCGGGTTTTAAAGTTTGCAGTGCAGTAAAAAAATTGCAACAATTAGTTAAATTAAGTGAAAAAAAAAACAAAAAAAAAAACAAAGTAAAAGGTAAATATAATTTATTAAATTTCAGGAATATCTTCCAAAACATTACCAACCTACTGTCCTTGTAAAAGCACAAGAAGCCAAACCTGAACCAATATTGACGAAAGAAATTAAGAAGCATGGTTCTAATCAATCGGTTTCCAGCGAATCATCTGACAACTACAAAGTTCCAGTTTCTACGCAACCATTTGAGACAAAACGTGATGAAAAAACAAATAGCTCAGCTTCTTTAAATAAAATCTCCAATAATATTCCCGATATTTCTACTGATTTGTTACAGGAACTTAACGAGCTTGAGGAAGAAGTCAAATGGAAAAATATTCCTGACAGAAAATCTCAAGTAAAAGGTTAAATAGTTTTATCTTTACAATGATTCTTGTTTCTTCCCTCCCCGCTTTTTCTCCTTCTCTTTCTCGATTCTTTTTATTATATATTCAAACACTAAATTTAACCACCCCTTAAAAAAATTTTTATATTACTACATATATATATATATATATATATATATATATATATATATATATATATATATATATATATATATATATATATATATATATATATATATATATATATATATATATATATATATGATAGACATGGAGTAGACTCGAAACATTTATACGTTTATTTTTATATCAAATAAGGATACTTTGCAAAAAAAATGCGGTGATTGGATCCTGGGAACAAAAAAAAAACAAAATTATGGCCCCCCTGCCACAAACGTGAAAGCAACAATTGGATAAAATATTTTTTGCTCTATTCTCAACTATATTTATATTTATTGATAAATTTTAAATTTCATGGTAAAATACTTCTGCGTTCAAAATATATTATCACATAAAGTATGAACCCTCTCAATTTGAAGGAATCATTTTATCAACTTGTTGCTCTCATATTTGGGGCAGGGGGCAAAAATTTTTAAGCCTTTTTGTTTCTAGGCTCCAACCATAGCAATATTTTGCAAAATAACCTTATTTGACATATAAATAAATATATAAACGTTTTGAGTTTGCTTATTGTCTGGAAGTTAGTTATTTCAAAGACCAAAAAATGCTGAATCCACCCCTGGTAGCAGTGATGAGACCTGATATTTGGAAAAATTTAAGAACAGTATTTCTAATTGTTTTCGATTAAAAAGTTTGATATTTTTATGCCCAACGGGTTAATTTACCATCAGGTTAAAGTTGTCAAAATATGGCAACCCTGTTGGGTAATATTAAAAGTCAAAGTTTCTAGACAAAACTTATCTTCACTAACAAATCTGAAAGGTTTGACATTTCATTTAATTCTTAGTGTTATAAAGTTATGACAATGTGAAATTTCTAACTCCATCATTTCGGAGTGGGGGTTATTAATTGGTAGTTTTTTGTTCGCAAATGATAGAGATTGTTCTAAAAATTCAAAGAACTCATACAAATTACTAAAACATGTTTTATACTAAGAATTTGTTTGTTCCTTTATATTCATTTATGTTGTTTTTTGAATTGTTTTTTTAGTAATAAATGCATACATTATGCAGTGCAAAAACGGTTTTGTTGGTGATCGTATTTTTTTGAATTATGGGTGGCCGGATCTTTTTGAATTATGGGTGGCCGGATCTTTTTGAATTATGGGTGGCCGGATCTTTTTGAATTATGGGTGGCCGGGTCTTTTTGAGTTATGGGTGGCCGGATCTTTTTGAATTATGGGTGGCCGGATCTTTTTGAATTATGGGTGGCCGGATCTTTTTGAATTATGGGTGGTCGGATATTTCTGTTGTAGCTGTATAAGTATTCCAAACCAAAAACCAAAATTGTTTTATCAGGATATTTTTTTCAATAGGAATATTTTATTTTTTGTTGTTAACATAATAATATTTCATGTTGGTCGCGATGGATGGATAAAAATAACAATTAAAAACAATTACAGTAAAATAATGTCATTGTGAGGGTTATTATTTAATCGTATTTTATAAGTAACATGGTAAAATATTTTAAATGAACCAAACGCAGACTCTAAGGTTACAACGATTAGGAATACTTTTGAGAAACAGGTAAAAGAATCAAACAATTTACTTTGCACAAATTGACAGGGTCGTACTGGCACTAAAGGGCTGGGAAGGATAGGGGAGAGATAGATATGGCCCTTATGTTACTAAACAATTTAGTAAAAATAAACTAAAGCAGTTTAATAACATAGTTTTTTTGCTTTTAGTTTTTATTAGGTACGTTTAAAAAAATAAATCCATATGCAAGATTTAAAAATACAATAATTCTAAATTTCAGCCTCGCACCACTTTAGTTTTTGCACCTCATTGTCATGCTGAAATTGTTTTTTCCCAATACCTTTTTCAGTATTAGGAAAATTAGAAACTTGTTGTCAAGTTTTTCAATTATTTACACAGAAGGCAATAATCAAAATATATGGCAAAAGTATTATATTATAGGAAGTAATCAGTAATATATTATATTATAATATTTATATTATAGGAGTATCACATTATTGCCCGTAATCAGAAAAGATGTTTTGATAATTTTGCCAAACTATTAACAACCTTATTGGAATTAATTTTTATGTCATTCTAACATTCTTTTTACCCAAAAGACTACAAAGACGATTTTTGACAACCTTCCGCTTCGAAAAAAATTGCTCACACTTGACTAGTTTTCAAGGTAGACATAATGCCATTTTGCAATGTACATGCAAACATGTATATTAGATTATGCAGAGCAATGTAAATTGTGACAATAGAAAAAAAAAAAAAAAAAAACGCAACGCAAACATCTGTTGCAGTCTTTTTCGGTGGAGCATTTCTCTGATTTAGTTTTATCACATTTTTATATGTTAAATTGCACATAATATCTTTCCCTAAATTGTACGAAAAAAAGACTTGCTTGGTCCAAAAAATACTGCAAGCTTTAAAACTTGAATATACATTTGTTTTATTTTTGCAAGTTTTTACTCATTAATATACATATTCTTATTAATATATATATTCTTATTAAATAAAAAATGGTTTAAGTTTAAGTAAATGGTTTAAATGGTTTAAAAAAGGTATTTCTTATATAAAAATTTAAAAATAATATGTCAAAGTTTAAACAAAACTGTTTAGATAATCCAATGAAATAAAATAAAAAATAATAATAAACCTTTTAAAAATGTCAAAAAGTTGTTAATATTCTACTAACGCAATGAGTGTCAATAAAATTCCACTTGCACAAAATTTAAAAGCGAGTTTAATACTGGTCTTTCACACACACACACACACACACACACACACACACACACACACACACACACACACACACACACACATACATACACACACACACAAATATATATATATATATATATATATATATATATATATATATATATATATATATATATATATACATATATATATATATATATATATATATACATATATATATATATATATATATATATATATATATATATATATATATATATATATATATATATATATATATATATATATATATATATATATATATATATATATATATATATATATATATATATATATATATATATATATATATATATATATACTCTCTATGGATACGCGCAGTATAGTGTAAATTCATCGATAAGGGTTTTGGCAACCTTTTTTTTAAAAAAATAAAAAAGTTCTCAATGTTTTTTTTTATCTATTTTTTTATCAAGAACGTTTTATTTTCTTCTTAAGAATGAAAGTTTAAATAATTTTAACCTTTTGTTACTTTAAATTGCTTTCAAAATGAACTAAATAATAAATTATTATTTAATGTTAATTTTTATTTTAAAAAAAGTTCAAATTAAAATTTTTTTACTATATGTTATTATAGCATAATAAGATTTAGTCAATTCGCACGTGTGTGTGATAGACTCACTCCAAAAAAGACGAATAGTAGTCAAGCTGTGAAAAAATATTTATGTATGTTATCTTTGAAATCTGTTCATATTAGACTATAGATGGCCTAACACACGCCATGTAGTGACTGTATCAGGCCATATTTGTAGATTCTAAGATAATATTATTGTATTTCTAATATATGACAAATTTGGCATACATTGTATTAATGCCACATTTTAGGCATATATTAGATAATGGTCTCTATACAAAAAAATATTAACAATATCAATATACAACGCTCAATAAGCAATTGTTCCTTCTTAATATTTTTTAATTTTCATAAGATCTGGTAAAATGTTCCTTAGGGCTAAAATAAAACAAATGAAAAAAGTAAAAAACAGATGGTTTAAATTGTGTGAGATATTTATCGTTGAATTACCGCCGTGAGACTTCCCATACATTTATATTATATAGTTTTAAGATCTGATAAACAGTTGAGAACTATTAGGAAAAATAATGTAAATAAACATATTAAATATTACTACTAAATGTTATTCTAAAACGTCACTTTAACGCTTATTGTCATATATTATCCTGTCTATAAATAATTTAGTAAAGGTGTCTTTGAAGAAAAAAATACTTATCATAAATTATGCACAATTTTAATTTTTTAATTAGAGCTTTAATTAGATTAATTAAATAGAAACAAAATTTATCTTGTAAACTTTTTCGAACAGCATTTCTTGGGTATTTACACTTTGAAGAGCACTTCAAACGCTTTGAAAGTAAATATTTAGTGATACGTAAAAACACACTCTTATTTTTACTTTTAAAAAAATGTGAATACGTCCTGTGTCACACAGTTGTTGGTTTGTATTTTCTTTAAATATGATAATATTGTTTTTCTTTGCAATAAAAACCACTGTTAAAAGGATTACTTTCTTTGTAAGCAAAAATTTAAAAACTTATTTTTTAAGTTTTTTGAATTTTTCACACAGCGCATTTATTAACAGCAACTTTTTAAATATACTTGCATTTATATAAAATGAAAATTACTGTGATAAAATGTTAAATAACGATTGAAATTGGTTATGCTCGTTTTTTGTTATTATTATTATTTCATTTGTTGTTGTTTTTTCTAAATTCAGATGTTTGCCTTTTTAGAAAATAAGAAAGAAACTAATTCCTCTCAATCGCCTGGATCTTTGAACACAAATAACAAACCCCTAAATCCTCAAAACACAAACGTGCCATCCTATAATAATCCAAATATGATAGCCGCTACAACTAAAGCAAGAAACGCATCAATGAGTTCTAATACATCTACTGGTTCTGAAAATTTAAATTCATCTTATCCTGATTCATACATTTCAGAAACAGGAGATCATGAAAATCAAGCTGATGAGCTATTGCAGAGTCTCTCTCAACCCATATATGCACAAATCGATAAAGCGTTTTTAACATCAAAAGCAAAACTTCCTAATGGTATTTCTGCACCAACAGTATCAGTTGACGAAAGCGCAAAAAGTTCTGTTCAATCGCCAAAACTTCCAAGAGATAGGACTAAAAGTGGCAAAATATGCAAGCCCCCGTCCGTAACTACTCCAGATTTTATAGAGCTTGAAGATTCTGCGCACATAGTTAAAAAAAGAATATATGCTGTAAAAAAAGACTTGGCTGAAATGCGTAAATATCATTTGGAGAACTCGCGTCAGTTTAAAGCTGACATTCAAAAAAAGTTACTGCTGTTTAGAAAAAAAGCCGCCAAAGCGGAAGAGTTACTCCAAGATAAATTAGATATAAACAATAGTTTTATATTTGGTAAGCTGATTTAAATATAATGCATGTGAAATATATATATATATATATATATATATATATATATATATATATATATATATATATATATATATATATATATATATATATATATATATATATATATATAATATTTGATAACTCTTACTAAATACACAAAAATTTTAACTGGCTCATAAGATAATAATTCATTAATATAACAATATACACTCTTGATATCTTTAGCTCACGAGCATCCTGTTCGCGAAAGACGACATCGTTTGACATCGGATCAAATAGAATACAACAAAAAGAAATCCAATGCCACAGAACTTATTGGGTAATTTGTTTTTAATTAATTTTTAAAATTTAATTAAACTTTTAATCTTAAAACAGTTTTAAATAATAACCATTAAAAACGATTTATTTTAATAATATAAAAACAAAACATCGAAAAACAAATCCAGAAGTAAAAAAATCTTTTAAAACTGTAATAAAAAGTTTTTCTTAGAATTTATTGCGACAGTTCAGTTAAAAAAAGTTTTTTTATAATTTTAATATCAAATTTAGTCAGGGGCGGATCCAGCATTTTTTGGTCTTTGAGATTGCTAACTTCCAAACATGGAGCGAACTCCAAACATTTAAATGTTTATACTTATGTCAAATAAGGATGCTTTGCAAAAAATTGCAATAATTGGAGCCTGGGAACAAAAAATCCCCAAACTTTTTGCCAACCCAGCCCCAAACGTGAGAGCAACAAGCTATTGAAATATTTTTTGTACTATTTTCAACTAGACTTATATTCATCGATAAATTTTAAATTTCATAGTAAAATATTTTAGCGTTCAAAAATTATGGCCCTATAAAATTTGCAACCCCCTCGAATTGAGGGAGGTATAAACTTTATATGGTCATAATTTTTGAACGCTAAAATATTATACTATGAAATTTAAAATTTATAAAAAATTTTTATTTTTTTTGGGTAGATACAATCTAAAAATATACCTAAAATAACCCACGTTTCTATTTTAAATGGTTGCGTTATTGCTTTCACTTCACAATGATTCGTATTAAAAGGGAATAGCTGTTAAAAAAATAACTTAAAAATCTTTTTACAAACTTGTTAAAAAGCTCTTTTATTATCCAAAACACTTTTAGATAAAACAAATTAAAAAAATTGAATTATAACAAGTTGTTATAATTTTTTTGACTTGTTTTATCTAAAAGTGTTTTGGATGAATATAGGTCCAATAATAAAAATAAATCCAATGGTAAAAATTGTAAAAAAGTTGTTGACATAATTAATGGACAGCCCTTTGGCCAACTTTAATAATAAATATATTTTGTTATAGATTTAATAAAAAAAATTTTCTAAAAATTTAATAAAGTTTTTTTTTTTTTTTTTTTTTTTTTTTTTTTTTTTTTTTCTGATTTTTTATATAATATTGTTATAAAATATATCATGGTATTTTGTCAAGTAAGTTTCAGAAGTTTTATGGTTCTAAAATTGTATCTTGAAAAGCTTTATTTAAATTTAAAGTTTATTCTAATACTTTTTTGAATTTATTAAGTTTAAAGAAATATTGTGGCAAGTTTTCTAGGAAGAACTTAATTAAAGAGGTAATTAGATAAGGGCTTTAAAAATTTCACAATAAAAATTTTATTGTTGCCACGATCATTAATCTAAAAGCTTAAAAATTTCTTAAATTTATAAAAATAATTTTATTAGATGATTTTGTATTTTAATTTTTTGCATTACTTTTTTATTATTTTGCTTAAGGTGGTTTTATTAGTTTGCTTAAGGTACACCACCAAATACTCAAAAACATTCTAACTTAAAAAAAAAAAAGATAAGTTTCATATCAATAAAAATTAATTTAATTTAGAATGCTATTTTAAACTTCATTTTACTTTGCCTCGATTACTTTGCCTCGATTACTTTGCCTCGAATTTATCGAAAAACAATTATTTTAATGGGTCCGTTCAAAAAACGATAACCTATTTTTTACATATGTTCTAGACATGTAAAGTAAGGTATTGATATTTGGATTTAGAGATTTTCAAACTACATTAAAAATTATATAAATTTTTTTCCATCAATTGAAAAAATAACTTTTTTAGACCTTAAAATTAAAAAAAAAAGATTGGAGCAGTATTATAAAATTTCGAAATGTCATTCCCTAGAAAATAGTATAATAAATATTTCCTAAAAATTTGACGCGAATTGCACTTCTGCTCCTCAAGTGATTTGCATTTCTGCTTCTCGGGAAATCATGTTTACAATCAAACAATGTTTCAAGATATCATGTTTACAATCAAACAATGTTTCGCAAAATTTGAAAACGGAGATAAATGCAAAAGAATATTAAATATTCTTTTCATTCCAATATAATTTTTTTTTAGTTTGTTAATTTATCGAAAAATTAAAAAATAAGTTGAGAATAAGCTTTTTATACTTATTTTATATTATTGAACTACATTAAATCGCCTATCAAATGAGCGAAATATCAAAAGTTCACTTTTTTTTTAATTCGATGTTGTACCACCTTAACTTTATTTAAAATATATCTAAAAATATTTAAAATTTGTCACAAGAAAGTTATCTGTTAAGGTTTTTTTTTTAAAAAAACAATTACTAATTCCTAACCTTTTGTAATCAAATTTGAACTTTAGACTTTTAAATTTTATTTTTCAATTTTTTGATGCGTTATTTTAACTCACAAACTTTATTAAAAATTAAATTATAAATGTTATTAAATTCTAAAAAAAATATAAACTTAAAAAATTAGCAAGTTTTCTTTAAAAAGTTACTTTTAAGATGTTATTAATTTTCAATTCTAAGCTTAAAAAGTTCTTATAATAAAATATCTTATAATAAAAAATATCTTAAAATAAAATATCTTATAAAACAAAGACTCAATAATAAAACTATGCGTATCATTGAACTTACATAAACAAAAATCTTTTTTTATTTAAAATTTTTTTTGTAAAAAAAATGTTTTAATAAACTAACTAAAAAAACAGAGGATACCATTTTTGAAATTTATCTGCCACGTCTTCAAAATTAACTTCTACATGAACCTGCATAAAATTTCTTGTTATTTTTTTTTATTTTTTTTTGGTGCCCTAATTTTTAGCAGTATCAAATTCGTACAAATTAGATACTGAATCATAGATACCTAGAGAAAATTTAAACCTACAAATATTATTTGGTAAATGTTTTGAAATCATATTACAAAATGAACCATTTTGGTTTTGTGTTTTTCTTGTATCGTTTGTCAAGAATTTTCCTCCTTACACATTTTTTTATTCACAAGTTAATTCAA